GCTTTGTTTAGCATGCTTTTAGTGTAATAGTCCTCATAGGTTTGGTGTTTTAGGCCTTAAACACTAACCTATTTGAGTTAATAGCATTTATTTCAAGCTTTTCATATTTGTGGTCATCTTTAATCACCTCTGCACCCCCCTTATTTCTTGGCTCCTTTTGTTGCCTTGAAAGTTGTTTCAAACCAATTACTTGTTTAAGTTTGAGATAGAGACCTTGTGCTTAATGGTTTAATCCCTTTGGGGGTTCATTAACAATGGCATGGTGTCTCTCTCATGCCCGAAACAAACCTTTGTTTGACACTTCTTTCCATTAGTGGACTTAGTGATCATTATTGGACTTAATAAATTAATGAATGGAAAGGTAATTAAAATGGAGTAATAAAATCAGGCTTAAAAACGTAACAAGATAATAACATAATTAAACACATGGAAACTAGAGTCATTTCATACTTGTTAGTGATCAAATGGTTCAAGTTTCCAAGGTCAACCACTTCCCTTGATCAAATCAGGATAGGGGGGAGGTTTGCAAGACTTTCATTGTGCATTTATTGAAACTGTATCCCTTGGTTTATAAGTCGTCACGCAATGAATTTGTGCCAATTGATGGCATGGGAATCGAGCCTACCACTCCTTTGAGTTGTTTGATAATAAGGAGGGGTAGGGTGGACAAACATCTCCTAAGGATGCTTTACTTGTGCTCTGTTTTTTGTCTGTTGCAGCAGGAGAAACTCAACATTTGTGGACAGCAGACCACTACTTTTGGCCTGCCAGCCACTTTTGTTTTTCAGCTAGGAAGTTTCCTTTTTTCCTGCAGAACAAAGCAGAGGCATAGGTGAAAAATAGTGCAATTCTCTTACTACAAAACAGAAGCATTTTGGCAGCCAAACAGATGCATTTTTCGAGTGAAAATCTATGTTCATGCATGAGCCATCCCTAGCATTTCGAGGCCTGTTTAAACTATGTTATTATAGTAGTATGTTGTACTTACAGTGATGAACTTGTAATAGTTAATTACTTAGTTAGTTCAATTCCCAATTTGTAATAATTAGTTAAATAGCTTAGCTAATCCATTTATTCGGACCCTCCTACGTGAGGGAAAAATATGTAACAATGTGTATGTCTTTCAATCCCAAGTCTTTCTCCCTTTTATTTATCCGCTTATGATGGATAGTGTAGCATACCACATTTCATTTAGCATTTTCTATGTTTGCATCCATTATATTGCATGCATTAGGCTCGGCACATCATGATAACAAACATTGTCGTTTAAAATGCTTCTTTGAATACATGCTTAAGTTGTATGCTATCAAATTGATTCACATGCCATATTGGTAGTCGAGCCTATTAATTGCATATTGCATGTGTTGCATTAGGCATATTTCATTAGTTAGGATCATGCATTTTTCTAACTATTTTCTCTTTTTCTGGTTCGCCTCGAGATCTGGGGTAAGTTTTACTGCTTTAGCATGTTATATGAGTGTGATTGTTGCCATGTCTAGCATGATTACCATGAGGCTAAGTGCATAATTGATATAACTCTTGAATGCCTATGGATGAAGGCTAGTTTCTTGAATTGGAATAATTTGATGAATGTGCATATGAGATCACTTTTTCAAGTGGTACAAATTTGAAACAATTTTCAAAACATACATGAAATCAAGGTGTTCCAATTTTTGCAAATTAGTCTATACTTGTGTGCAACACAAAATAATGTTAGCCTAATAATCGGAACAAGAGCATATAATGTAAATAAGAACCACATCATGATTAGTAGAAGCCGATCTTCGATCGGGCTAGTGGGCTGCTCAATTCATGACTTTCCCCTATCGTACCTAAGTTCTCGAGCTGAGACACTTTGGTGATGACGGATAAGTGGCCTTTGGCACGAGTCTCGGGTTTTCTAAATTTTCTAAAAATATTTAGGTGGCAACTCTGAATCTGGCAAAGCAGTCCATTCTTGGCATTTTGATTCAAAATCAATTTTCCAAAAGATCTGTCAGATTTGGACTCTTTTGTATTTATCTATTTCACATTGCACTTGTGAGATCAGATTCAGGACCACAAGAGTCTGAACTGTAGGGCTATCGTATCCGAAAGGAGCACGAAAGTCAAGCTACAGTGACAAACTTGAGCAGTTCACTGATCTTCACAATATTGCTTGTTGATTGTGCTTGTGAAATTTGTTCTAAGTTGTTCCATGGAATTGCATTTATGATACTAGCATGATTAATGCACATGTAGAAATTTATGGAAAAAAAAAAAAAGGATAGACATTATTACACGAATCAAGTGGTTACCCAAACAGCAACCTAAGAGGGGGTGAATTAGGTTTCTACAAATTAAAATAAATAATCCCCAATAAAAATTACAAACTAATACAACAATTAGAATAATAGGAAAATTAGATAATTATCACAAATAATATCAGATAAATATGGCAGTGCAAGCAAATTAAAGAGATAGGGGAAGAGAATACAAACACGATTTATAGTGGTTCGGCTTCAACCAAGCCTACATCCACTCTTCAAGCTTCACTTGAGATTTTTCCTCTATCTTCTAGCTTTGCAAGGGTGCTAGCAACCTCTCAACACATGGAGCAATCCTCCATAGATTTTCTAGCTTTACAGGATCGCTAGTGACCTTATTTTCCCTAGTTTTACAGGCTTGCTAGTGACCTTTACAAGATGAGTATTATGTTTTTGCTTTCAAAGAAAGCTTACAATAAATATCTCTCATAGATGGATATACAAAATGAAGTTCACTGATTTTGTGTAAAAACCTCTCAAAGGTGGATATGCTTAAGGCTAAGTTCTGTGTGTTTTCTAAAGGAAAAGGAAATACAAAAGATTTACTCTTCAGAGAATAGAGAGATGAGATTGATGATAAAATCACACAGCTTTTCTCAGCTCAAATCTCTTTGAATTTTTGATAACCTCTCACAGGTAGATGTGCTTAAGGCTATAGCTCAGTGTTTGATTTTCTGAAGGAAAGATGAACTCAGAAGAGTGTTATTTCAGATACTTAGAGCGATGAAGAAGACATGAATGATGAAGTATCAAAATGTGTAAGGCACGTTGGTTGTCTCTCTCTGTATGTGTTATATTCTTCAACAGCATTAGTACTTCTATTTATGAAGAAGAAATGTATCCGTTGTCTATTGCGTGTGTTGAGAACATTGAGTAAGATTTTGGTTAAATCTACTATACTCAAATTTGCATTTCTCATACATGATTAGATCTTGAAGGAGTTGAAGATGGGTTTGATTGAAGACAAGCAAATTTGAAAAAGAGTTGTTGCAGCAGAGTGGTCGTCCAACCGGATGTCCAAAGCCAAGCTTTGTTCTTGTGGGACATCCGCCCGGATGTCCACCCAGATGACTGGTGAAGTCCCAGTTATCAAGGTTGACTGCTGCGGATGTTGAGTATATTGCTGGTTTGATAGCCGGTGGAAGCAGAGCTGAAACGAAGGTAATCTAGGAAAAAATACCACCATCGGTCGTCCGCCTAGATGTCCAGGCCCCTCTAGGCTGGACTGCTTTGGCTGTTGCTTTGTGCTGTTGCTATTCTGGGCTGTTTTGGTGCTGTCTTGGACTCTGTTTTGGGCTGAAATTAACACATGTTTAAGATCATTTGAGCCTCCACAAAGGTAGATTAAATTGATATGGATAAAACATAATATATTGATCAATTTAATTTATCAAGAACAAAATCAAAACATAATCAAATAATCATCAAAATACAATATGGCTAACACAAGTGTAAATATGTTTAATAAGACAGAATGTGATTACCAAATCTCCAATTCTAGGGCTTCTGGTATAGGGGGATCAAATATGAATGAACATGATGATATTGTGGACAATGCCAAGCCTGTGTAGAAAATAAATTTATGTGATACAGGTTAGACTTTAGTTTTTTAATGTAGTTAATATGTACAGCGGAAAGAGTATTTGTTACCATTGTATGATGTAACTTTTAGTCTCATCTCAATTACTATTGGAAATGGAGCCGATTTTGTTGCAAAAGTTGCACCTTCACATGTGTTGAGTTGGTCCCATAGTGTAAGGACTGTTGGCTTCAAGTTGCATAAAATAATGTTTAGTTGAGTATTTTAGTTATTTAAGTTTTCTATGAAAGAATGAACTTATTGTTTGTCAATTAGAATGACATCCATTAGGGTTGTTTCTTTGCTTGAAGTCATCTTCCTTGGTGGTGATACATGTAGTACTGCAATAAGCACATCTGAAATGATAAATAACAAAGCATAAGTATCTAGTATTTGTTATGTTTTAAATATAGAAAAAACATCAAATAGTACTTATGTTTTTTTTTGGCTTCCTTGGCATCTTCTAAATCATTCAAAGGAGTGAAGTTGAATGAAAGGTTATGCAAAGTTAGCTGATCATCTTCAGTTTCCTCAATAGGAGTTCGACCATGTAGATTCCATTGGTACTCATTGGGAACGATACGGTGTTCTGCAACATGTCTGACTATGGCATTTGATATTGAATATGTTTCAAAGATTTGCAATGTGTTCTCCAAAACTTCAATATCATTTCCGTAAATTGTGGTCTGTATTTTGGTGTCCAGTCAGTGTTTTCATTTTGTTGGTTAGTATGGAAGTTATAAACTAATAACTTATGAAAGGAATAAATTGATCACATATGAAAGGAATAAGTGCATAAGATAGTTGAAAGAGATCCATTGTGTTAAGTATAGCTCTGAGTCAGTGAGAACCAATCTTTGGTATGGTCCTCCAGTTGCCATGCTGATTTTTGGATGTGCTTTTTCAATGACCATGATGTTGCATATCCATCGTCTTGTAGTTGGATCAATTTCCTCGATTTTTTTGAGCTGATTAGTCATGCTTGCTCTGCATAAGAAATAAAATTTATTTAGGAATAAGAAAATTATAAAAGATTGGTTTATAATTTAGAACAACAAAGAAATGAGGTAATTAAAGTGTGTAATGGATATGTAGTGCAAATGGTGCTTACAAAATCATGCGCATTGTGCCAAAGATAAGAGTTCATGAAAAACAATATTTGCTGTGGAATCAGTTCCATCACTATCAGAATCATGTGGTTCAATTAGGATTCGAAGTTTAGTTGAAGTTGTAGCACGAGACAAAGCAACATAAAGTTGACCACGAGAGAAAACTAGTTGCGGCAAATATATACCTACAGTTTCAAAAGTTTGGCCTTGTGATTTGTTAATTGCCATTGCAAAACAAAGCCTTATTGGAAATTGATGCCTAGTAAACTGAATATGATACATATTTTGATCTGAATGTTGTAAAGGGATTCGAGGCAAGAAAACAATATTTCCCTTATAATCACCAACAGCAATTTCAACAACAATGAGATGTATTTCAAATTTATGATAGATGAGTCTTTTTCCATTACATAATCCTTTTGAGGCATCTATATTTCTCAACATCAGAATTGGGCAGTTTAGTTTTAACAAAAGTTTATGAGGAGGCAAGCCAATTGGATTGAGAGAATGTAAGAAATCTTTATATTGACCTTGTTGGCTTGTTTTAATTGTTTCATCAATACTCATATATTGTTCTTGAGCACCAGGAAATCTTTCGATGAGCAATTGGTTGATGTGATAAACACTTTCATTTTTGGGAGTTAAGATAGCATTGTTCATCAATTGTTTAAGTGAATTTGAACTTGATAAGGAAGGAAGAAACATTGGTGGAGGAATTTTGATTTTTCCATTAGAGATTTGTGGTTCTGTTTCGTTTCCTTCTCGAAGTAGATATTCGCAAAATTGTGGATCTTGTTTTGCTCTCATATTTTCCTTTAGCTTTAGCTTTCCAAAGAACTCCAAATATGAGAATGCACGAGACTAGCGTCGATGAATTCATTTGTAGTACCCTTAGGAACAATTGGAAAAACTTGTCGGAAGTCACCACCACATACCATAACCTTTCCTTCAAATAAAAGGTTAGAATCAGTTATATCACGTAGCATTTCATCAACCGCTTTAATGGCTTGGCACTTTGCCATGGAGGATTCATCCCAAATTATAAGTCTAGCGGCTTTTAAAAGTTGTGCTAGACCACTTAGCCTGGTAACAATACAAAAAAATTTGCCTTCGATATCTATTTGTATCTTGAATCGAGAATGTGTAGTTCGACCATTAGGTAAAATTGAAGCTGCAACACCTGATGTTGCTATTGCAAGAGCAATCATTTTATGACTTCTAATTGTTGCTAAGATTGTGCGATAAAGGAAAGTCTTTCCTGTACCTCCAGGTCCATCAATGAATAAGTAACTTGGAGTGCCTGATAGAACAGCTTCAACAATTTTGGAATATGCGATTGCTTGTTCTTTGTTTAGTAATGATACACATGACAAGTCATAATCAGACACTGATATATTCATTTCATCTTGTATTTCTTTGCAAAGCGTGCTATGTTGGTTCGCTGATACCAACAAGTCAGCAAAATTAAATTGGGCTAAGTTTTTACCCATAGACTCAAGTGTAGAATTTATACTTTGCAATATTTGGTAACGAATATCCTCCATTGAGATTACTGGATTTCTTGAAAAGTCTTCTGACAAATATTGTTCAAACTTTGTAAAGAGTGCCTTTGGATTATGTGGATTATAATAGACAAGTATTATTGCAAATAATTGTCTCAAGGGAGAAAGCATTTGGAAATTGCTTGCCTCTTCCAGGCACTTTTCATTAGTTTCATCATCTTCTAGCAATCCATGTTCAAGAGCTGCTTCTCTAAAAGTCGCATAAGTGGTTCCATTAACATTTTTTAGACTTTGAAACGATGTTGGTGCTTTGATATGATTTAGCAATACTCGTAAATAATAACACTCGCCTTCAGTAGGATTTGCTGTGACTATTCTTCCAATGACCTCTCTTTGTTGCCTTTCAAACCACATTCTGTATTTAGAATACTAGACAAATGCTTTTGGGAAATCTTTGTACAAAAAATTTCCAGCTTTTGCTTTGTTGTTTGATCTATTCATTGCAAAAAATTCTCTCAAAGTGGTTCTTGAAAAGAACTCACTGTTAGCTATGCATGTTAAGATAGTGTTATTGTTAAATCCAATTGTTTGGCAGCCTTCAAGATGTAATTGTAAACTAATGCCTGCAAGATTGACCTCATTCAAAAAGAAATGATAAATTCTCCACATCGCTTCCGGAGGAGAGAACCATCTTGTTGATTGAAATTGTGATATTTCATTAATATTTTCAGCAGCATTGGCTCCAATAATGTTGAATGCTACCATGTCATGACCTTTGTAAATATACTTGTACAAGTATTTTACAGCTTTAATGGTCGAGCAAATTTCAACATTAATATGACAATCAAATTTTGCAAGTAGATATGGATTATAAGGTACAACCCATCTATTATCTAACATATGGCCTCGAACCAATACTGTTTCACCATTATTTTGTATTCTATAAAAAGGATAACCATCAGCAACCATGGTAGTTGCTGAATTAAAATTTTTTGGATAATGATTTTTGCACAATTCCAATTTTCATACAAACATTGTTTGCATTTAATGAACCACATGGTCCATGCATCATGTGCTTGACAACTACAGAATATAAATGAGGATATTTCTGCTTGTCTTGTAATTCAACGTATATTAAGGCATCAAATTTTTTAGCAGAATTTAGTTTGTATCCTTGTTGCAAAATCAAGAGCATATGAACATGAGGAAGGCCTCTTTTTTGAAACTCAACAACATAAGTAAAGGCTGCAATTGGATTACAAGTCATAGTTAAGAATATATCTGGTTTACCAAAAAGCTGAACTAATGTCATAGCATCGATGTAGCATTTTTGAATCCATAGGACCACCAATGAATGAACTTGGTAAGATTACTCTTCGCCCAATTTAAGAACCATTGGATTCTCCATATGCAACACTATCAACAATTCCTTAGTATAACTCCATCCATATTTGGTGTTGCCTTGATCGAAAATAATCAAGTCGCGATGTTTCAAGCTTTACATACATATCAACGACGAATTGTTACAAAAGTCGACCTGGTTGAAGAAGCACTAATTGCTGATTGTCTCCTATCTGAAGCTTGTACGCGTAAAACTCCCTAGCTGAAAACATCACTTGTTTGGTTGAATTTTCTTCAAAGATTGAAACAATGTTGAAAATTTTCAAACATTACTTGGAACAATATAAACATACGATTTTTTTATTTATTTATTTATTTATTTATTTTTTTTTTGTGTGCCTATAATTACCTTTAGCCTCATTGTCAAGAAAATCATCTGCATTGGTAGCATTTTGAGGCAAAATTGATGATTGAGCACTAATGGTGGCATGTGCATTTTTTATTTTTTTTCTTAATTCCTTGATGCCATCCAAGCTCTCCAAATGGAAATAACAATGGGTATTGTAAGGGATCATAACAACCATAGTAATATCGAATTCTTTAACTTTGTCCTTCATGTTTGTGAACAAGTATATCACGCTCTCTATAATCTGGATTGTCATCATTTTCATGCCAAATTGTACCCACTTGGAAAGTATTTGGAGCATTGTAAGTTTGAGGATCTAAGCATGGATCAGCTCGAATGATTATACGATGGGTATCTAGATTGGATATATCTCTCAAACTTCAAAAGAAAAGTAAGGATTTGATGCTAAGATGTCAATCAGAAGAGAAACAATTATAGGATCTAACATGTCAGAATTTTGCAATCTGTTTTGTACTTCATGTTCAGTATCAAAAAAATTAGAGTCACAAATATGAAAGTTAATCATTTGAGGGATAAAGCTGATTGACGAAATGATAAATTTGACCTTGAACACGGAATGTGTAGATACCTCTGTTTCTTCTAACCAAATCCTTATCGATGGTAACACCAAATGAAGTAAAAGCAAAGGAATTGTTATAGGCTCTAATGTATTTTAAAAAGTTTAGGGAATGAACAAAGCGACCCATAAATAAATCATATAATATGGGATGAACAGTGATCAAAGATAGAAAAATGTCTCCACCAGAGCAACAAAATCCATTTGGCTTAAGATCTATTCTTTTTGCGATGCAAAATTGGCAAGGAGTTCGAGTGCGCAAAGTGAACGCCTCAGTTGGAATGCATCTTTTTCTTTTTCTTTTTCTTTTTTTGGTTATAGAATGAGTAAGCAATCTTATTGGAAAAAAGAAGATAAGAGATCATCAAAATAGATAATTTTGATTTTGAGAAGTGTATGATGATAGTAAACCACATTCTGTATCAAAGCATAGATTCGTCTCCTTTTGTTCCTTAGCTATGTATTCTTGTTCTAGAGGCTAATGTGTTGTGGTAGATGTTGAACCTATTAGTTTTCAATGAACAAAAAATGAGTATAACAAAATGTAGTAGTTATACTATAAGGAGGGGAAATTTGACAAGGATTGAGAATTTGTATTTTTCTTTTATATAGGGTAGATAGATTTTTAACTATATCAAAATTAGTCGGTTGAATGTTTTGTTGCAGATCATTGCTGATGTCAAAATTAGGAATAACGGTATGCAAAGTTGAAGGCTCATTAGATATATGTGTGAAAGAAGGTTCACAAGGCTGTTGGTTTGACTGATATTCTTGCGAAGATGAAGTATTAGTATTAAGATATGATGGATTTCTTTGCAATGCTCGGAGTTCTCTTCTTCTTTGATTGGTACGATCCTTTTTTTCTTGAGAAAAATCTGTGTACGAATACTTCGATTTCCTTCTTTCCGCCATTGTTGTTATGAGTAGTTACAAATGTAGAAATTAATATATGATTAAATAGGCATTCAAATAACATAAAATGTTTTTTGGCATAAAGATTTTTATGAAAGAAGGAAATGAAACTAAATTTTTGTTTGAATCTTTGGGACCTTAAAAGCAACATGAGCACCTTATAAATTCTTGGAACATAGGAATGAACAAGAAATTAAAGAGGACATATAGAACGGTATATTTAATGCCTAGGAAAGAGCAAAGAGGAATCTTTAGTTGCAAAGAGCATTAACACCTAGGAATGAAGCACAATTTTGCATTACAAATAAACAAAAATGTAAATAAATAAATTGTATATTTGAATAACATTTAGTTTTTTTACCACCATTTGAAGGTTTTATTCATGAAGAGAAAATAAATCCATTTCATATCTATACATCTATATCATGTGTGTGCATCTAAACATATCATATGAAAAATATACCAATATATATTTTTGGATATAAATAAATCTTTATTTTGCCCCTTTTTTATTTATATTTTGTAAATATTTTTTTTTCTTCTTTTGGGTCTTCACTTTAAAACAACTGTTTTTCTCTATTATTTGTTTCCTATAATTTTTCTTTTTCTTTTCTATGAAATAGTATAGGTCTACTATGAAAGATACGATGTGTGAACTTGTGAAGTCTTGGAATTGGTAGCTGAAGCATTCAAGATTATACTAAAGTATATGTTAACTAATTTTCCGAGGGATAAGAAGAGTGTCTCTTGTTTCTGCCTAAATCATTACCCATCATGTCCAAAGTTTCAAGTATTGAGTGGTCAAAGTTTCGATTTGCTCTGTTTACATCTTAGTCTTTTTCCTTAATGGATTTTATTTTTTACTCTTCTATTTTTAATGGATCTCTATCTTTTGCACAAAATATTTTTTTCAGTGTAGTGATTTTACTTATACTTTTTGTTGATTTGTAAGCTTTATTGATTTTGGGTTTTCAATTTTGTGCAAGTAAATAACTAATAGAAGTTTTAAGAATGTAAACCTCATAATTTTGGATGACAATTTAAAACCAAGTATGTCAATATATGGCAA